CCATGTTGTCACCAATGACAGGACTTCCTGCTTTTTAAAGGCTAACCCGTGTCCCATTGTACAAATAAGGTTCTTTTAAAAGGTGATGGTTATGCTAACCAGCCTGACGGGCCAGCCTACAAGGCACAGATGGAAGGGGACATCGTGTACCCACAAAGGGATACAATTATTATTTGTCAATCAAAATCAATGCAACTTGAAAAAGAAAAAGCAGTCGGCAAACCAGCGCCTGTGTGGCCGCGAGCTGCCTGGCCGTTCCTGAGCCTGAGGAAGGGCACCGCGTTGGGGGGCGTGCTGCGCTTCCTGTCAGCTCTCATTCCAGACAAGACCATGCAGAATATTCCAGGAGAAAGCTCAGGCCGAAGCCAATAGGAACGAGACGTGTTGTTTTTCAAGTGCCAACACCTCCTAACAACAATTTTTCGTGCTATCAGATCATTTCACACCGTGCCATTCCACCTTCTCGCGAGTCTTATCACACAAATGCAGTTTCAAGCTGGATGTTTGATGGCTACACTGCAAAAGAGAAAACCCTGCCTGCTCCCCACCCCCGAGCAGCCTTCCTGAATACATGGTGGGCCTGCTCCCCTGTTCCTTTCTGTTCAATGTGGGTTTAGAAGAACGGCAGCCTTGGATTTCAGGGAGCAGTGGGGTCTGGCATCCTCCGCCTTCAGAGCCAGGCTCGACTTCCAGATGATCCTGACAGGACAGAAAGAGATGGTCAGATCCGTGGGCAGCAGACCACACTGCCGACCATGCTTTGCAGCCCTGGGCTGGTGTGCCGACGCCATGCCTGCTCGGGGGTGCTGCACACTTGTGCCATGGAGATTTTGGACTGAGGCCTCCGCCTTACTTTGGGATTTGGTTTGCTGTGTTTTTGGAAATACTGGAGATTGGTCCCAGCTTGGCATCACGTGTAACTGTGCCCTGTTGAACACGACGACATTCCCACCCGAGATGCACCTGCATGGTGGGAAAGGACGTGCTGCGCTTGCACCAGGTGCTACACAGCTGTCCCTGGGTGGACCCACCACCACCGCTCAGCACTGGGTGACAAGCTCTTGTGGAGAAAGCGTGGGATCCAGAGGCCCAAGATTGGGCTGCTTTCTGCTCCTGCTTCCGTAAGCTTCAGAATTCTAGCAATGCCCTGGGCATGGCGGCCATGCCTGTCATTCCAGAACCTCAGGAGCCTGAGGCTGGAGGACCACAAGCTCAAGGCCAGCCTGGGCAATTTAGTAGACCTGTCTCAAAAGTTTTTTAAAAAGGACTACGGGTATTTGGCTCAGTGGTGTAATGCCCCTGGGTTCAATCCCCCCAAAACCTGAAAAAAAAAAGCAAAACTCTTAACCCAGTGTGGGATGTGCTTCACCATCCACCCAGTATGTGGAAGGGCCTAATAAACTATAGATAAGAATTTTATTGTTAATAGACTTGCTTAATTAATTATAAACACATGATTAAACAGCTCTTCTCTCTCATTTCTTGTCCACAAAAATAAGAAAGACTTTTTCAAATGTCACCTTAAAATTGGTAAACAGGCAAAGGCACTGTAGACACCTGGGATCAACCACATACTTGAGTTGGAAGAATAAAACATTTGCGGCCTCATAGGGTGTAGTTGTGTCGGAGTGTCCTCTACCCCTCTCCATTTCAGCTCAGTTGAAGTCTGAGCACCACAGCATCTGATATGAGATTAGTAAAATCTATGTTGGAGAGAGAGGGGGGTCTGCGAAGAAAACAACTCAAAAGATTTGGGTTGACTGCTTGAGGTAGAAACAAACAAGCCCAGGACCTCCTTGCCCTTCACCTACTGCCCAGCACAGGTTTCCCGCAGAGGTGTGCAGAGGTGCCACTTGGCCCACGAGCAGCATTCAGTGCCCTAGTGTTCTAGCCATGGCCCTCCGCGGGTCCGACATGAACTCCGTGCAAGGACTGCTGTGCCCTCACAGAGCCCGCAGAATCCCTCCTTCGTCACCAGGAGCCCTTAGGGTTCCCGCTGGGCTCCTAGGGGTTGGGATCTGAAGCCGCATGAGGACAGGTCTCCCCAGAGACCCGGGAGCAGGACTCCCTTTCCTCCGGTCCACACCAGGCTCACGGAAACCCAATGACTAGAGGTAGTAATGGCCAAACTCTTCTCCTTAGGTTAGAATGGTGGGGGGACAAGTCCACAGTCTCCTTGAGTTTAATAGGTGGCTGTGCCATCTCCCAGGAGGAAAGAATTATCACTTTTTCTGCCAGGGTGCAACCAGAGGGCCTTCAGTGGGGCCCGGGATGTGGGTGATCAAGGACCCAGGAGGTCACACGCTAGGACTGGTGTTTCAACGTTGGACTTCAGCAATGTTCAGCGATGCTCCAGATGCAAAGCCTTTAGTTCGATGTCTGGTTCACTTGGCCTTCACGGGCTGCGTCTGGGTGTTTTGGCTGTTTGGATCCTGGCTTGTCTCAGCCTCTTGCCATCCATGCTGATGTAGTTCACTGTTCTTTCTTGCAGTCTCTCCAGCCTGTCAACAAAGTCCACTGGTGAACAGACTTTCACCGAGTCGTGCTTCTTTACTTAAGATGAGTATAGATTGAGTTCATTGAGAAATCGGCTTCAGCATCACAGCTCCGTGAAGTGCACGTCTTACTCCACAGGCCAACTCTCATCCAGCGACAGGAGCTCGGACAAGTTGCCTCCATTAGGCGTCTCCATCGCCAGCAGCACCAGCGCGACTCTGAGCCTAGTGAACCATTCCTTGCTCTTAGAGGAGGGAAGGGCCCCTTCCTTTCCACTGCTTCTAGGTTTCTCTTGCCGACCTCCGTGTTTTCTACTGCTGCCCAACAAACTGCTGCAGACCTAGTGGCTGCAAACACCTACTGGCTTATCTGGGGTTTGGAAGGTCTTTTACTCATGGGCTCACCAGGCTGAAATCTGGCTGTGGGCCCTGGCAGAGATCTCGCCCGATGCTCAGGGTCCTCTTCTGAGCTCTGGCTGCTGGCAGAATCCAGCGGCTTGTGTTATAGGCCTGAGGCTCCCAGCAGCAAGTGACTGCCCACAGTCCCTGCCTATGGCCCCTCTGCTAGCATGCTAGCTGCTGGGAAGTCAGGGGAACACGTTTCTATTGCTTCCAGTCCTTGTTAAGAGCTCACCTGATTATCCTAGACATCCCATCATAGTCACAGGTCCTCCCCCACCTCCAAGGGAAGGGGTTTCACAGGTGGGTACTCAGAGGCAGGTGTTGGGTAGGACTCTGCCTTCCACACCTCAGGAACCCCTAGGTCAAGTTCCTCTCGTATGTGAGATGAAGGCCAAGTGCTCTGCCCTGGGCACAGCCACGGACCTATTGGTTTGCCTCCTGCTGCCCGCCTCCGGCTCCCTTCTGTGCCTTCTCCCTCCTCAGCAGCTGGCTCTCCTGCCCCAGTTTCAGTGGCTTTCCCTGAGAAGCCACCTCATTTTTGCTCCCACCTGAGGCCTGGCCCCCTTGGTCTGTGCCTCTGCAGTGCCCCACTCCCTCCAGCAGCAGCACTGCCCCGCCCACCTCTGCAAGGGCCAGGGTTTCCTTCCCAGCTCTGCTGAGGACCAGGCGCAGGCCCCCACTGCCTGCCCGGCACCTAGCAGTAGGCCGAGAGGTTACTGCAACTGTTCCACGTGGACACTTCCCACTGATGTCTCCAGGTGGGCAGCCCAGGACTTGGGCCCTCGGGATGGCCCAGCCCCTGCCCCGTCTGCCACGCCCCTCCACAGGCGAGCCGACCCTTGGCCAGGTGGCACCTCATGGGCTCCTTTACCTGGCCCCCTCTTCTGGTCTCCTGTGAGGCCCTGGACAGCTCTCCTGGTGGACAGGAGCCTGAGGGTCCTGGCAGCCGGCCACACTTCCCCATCCCTGGGCTGGGGGAGTGCTGGTCACAGGCTCTCAGCACAGGGCTGGGGTCTCATCAGTCCTGGGGGACAATGCAGGGTGACAGGGAGAGCTTGGCTTGTAATCAGATCAACCCGTGTGAAAGCCTGTTTCCTGGAACGATGAGTCATGTGACCAGGCAAGTTCTGGGACCTCTTTGAGACTCAGTGTCCCCACTTCAAACCTGAGGTTGGCAACAGCACCTTCTTCCTCAGAGAACTGGTGTGAGGATGGAATGATAAAAGGCCCCGGGGGCCCAGCACGGCCTCTGGCCAGGACCGACTGCTCCTCCCAAAGGAGCCAAACGGCAGCCTCCCGTCTGTCTGGCGCTCCACTGTGTCATCAGTAGCCTGTGGCCTGCTGAAGGCTCCTCACCTCCTGCGAAGGGGTCAGGATAGGCCAGGAGGGAAGCGGGCTCTGCGCGGGCTGCACACGGGCTGCACACAGGCCAGACATGAGAATAGGGAGGAGCACTTGACTCCCAGCCTCGGGTCTAGAGGGTGGCCGGAGGACGGGCTTCTCCATGGGAAGGGACCCTGTTGACTTCTGGGACTTGGGGACAAGGGAGAGCTTCAGAGAGGCAGCGAGGCAGCTCCTGTCTGGCCAGGAGCACTGCGAACGTCTTCCAGGAGAACACAGGAGATGGGCTGCGTCTCCTGTGCCGATGATGGTTCAGGTGCTGCGTGCTGGGGAACCTGATATAACTGCACTTTGGCTGCACAGAGGCACGACGCTTCAATCTGGTGCCAGTTAGCAACCACAAGCTGGGTAGACACCCTGGTGAAGTTGTGGCACCTGTGCCTGTCCTGGTGGTGCGATGATGGGCCAGGTGCTGATTAGAGCCTCAGGTGCCAACACCGCTCTCCCCCAGCCAGGGTGCACAGAGACCCACACTGTCTCAGAGTCTCTGAAATGTCACATGGAGAGGCTGAGATGACCTGGGGACTGGCTGCTGTCCTCTCCCCATAAGCAGCTCAGGCTAATGCTGAGGAGTTAGTTGTTCAGCGTTGTCGCATGTACCTTGGAGAACGGTGGGGGGTAGCAGGCTTCCCTTTGGGAGGTGTTTGGAAGTGTCTGTTGGGGAGAGATGGAGGTGGGGAGCTGCAGGACGCGAGCGCCCTGTGTGGGGAGGGCCGCGGGAGCCTCTCTCTGCAGACGTTCTCCTGTCTCCGCACTCCAGGGCTTGTGTTTTGATTAGCTTGTCCCTTAGGCTATCATTAGCGTCTTTGAGGGGAAAGTATTCAGTCCATAAATATGAAAATAAGCCCGTAATTGACCCTTGGACTGAATTTGTTTCCATGAGGTTTTGGACTGAAGAGGCCCCTCTTTGGAAAGCCCTGTGTGTGACATCAGCGGCGGTGCCCGCTGGGATGCCCGTGCAGGCCTGCACTTAGGAGGGCAGAGAGGGCCAGGGAGAGAGGGCGGTGGGCTTGTCTCCTCGCTGTGAGCCCCGTGAGGCACCACAAAGGAGTGCCGCAGAGTGTGTGCCCTGGCGCCAACTCACCTGCTGGCCGCGGAAGGCTGCTCCCACGTCCCACCAGCACGTGCCACTGGTGTAGGAAGGTCCCACACAGACACTCCTGGGGATGTGACAGAGGCCACCGCCGTGGTCTGCAGGCTGCCTGGGAACTGTGCTGGCTAGGACAAGCCTGCTCCAGAGGACCTGCCCTCCTGCAGCCCGGTGGTGCTGCGCCTGACCTCAGGGTGAGGTCCTCCCTCCCTGCACCCTGCCTGTGACTTTGCTCTCTCGGGAGTACCCACCACGGCTGGCAGAACACACGGCCTTGTGACTTGGTGAGCATCATCAACACAGTGAGCTGGAAGGGGTACAGAAAGTGGAGGCCGCCAGAGCAGACGGACCCCAGGCTCAGTGGAGAGGCGGCTGGGAGACCAGCGAACCCCTGGGAATAAGAACATACATCATATTACTGACACATATCATCTAAGTATGTAGTTCGGTGACAGTAAGCACTTTTTCCATGTCGCACAGCGTAGGCTTTTCATCTCCAAAACCTTTCAGCTTCCCAAAGGGAAACTCTGCCTTCTACACCAGTTCCCCACTCCTCCTACCCCACGCCCCCGCACCACCCTCTGCTTCCGTCTCTGGGTTTGCCACTCTGGGTCCCTGACGCACTTCACAGACAGCAGGAAGGTGCGGCCTCTGTTCCTCGTGACTGGCTCATTTCACTCAGCAGGGTCCTCCAGGTCCATCCAGGCGGAGGTGTGTGTCACCATGTCCCTCTTTCTTAAGACAGAATGCTGTTCCTCTGTGTGTCTGCCAGGTCTTGTTCACCATCACCGTCAGTGCACGTCTGAGTCGTTGCTACCTCTGGATGGTGGGAATGTGCTGCTATGGATAAGGTGTAAATAGCTGAGTTTTGGGTTCCAATTCTTGTGGAGATTGATCATATGACAATTCCATATTTAACTTTCTGAGGAAGTGACAAACTATTTTCCACAGTGGCCATGTCATTCACACTGATCAGCAGTGCACAAGAATTTTTTTTAAATATATATATATTTTTTAGTTGTAGTTGGACACAATACTTTATTTATTTTTATAGGGTGCCGAGGATGGAACCCAGGGCCCTGCACCTGCTAGGGGAGCGCTGTGCCCCTGAGCCCCAGCCCCAGCCCAGCAGTGCACAAGGATTCTGATTTCTCAGTGCCTTCCTGAACCCATGTGAGTTTCACTGTTTTTATAATAGCTGTACTGGTAGGGGTAGAGCACATTCTGTGTGGCATTTCCCTGATGACTGGTAGTGCTGAACATCTTCTCCTGTGTTTATCAGCTGCCATGTGTCCTCTCTGAAGCAAGGTCTACTCTTATCCATTGCCCATTTTTTAAATCAGGTTCTAATCCCCTCCATGTTTTCTTTTAGAGTATTAGAGTTTTAGCTCCATGGTTTAAGACTGGATCCACTTTGAGTTAACTTATACATATGGCACAAGCTAAGTTCACCTTATTCTTTTGCACATGGGTATCTGCTGGTCCTAGTGCTATTTACTGAAGAGCCTGTTCTTTCTTCATTGACGATCTTAAAGCCACAGCCCCAAATCGCTTGACAATCTAGGTGAGGTGTCTGGCTTTCCTCAAGTCCATTCCTCCATGTCTCTGTCCCTGTAACTACACTGTTATGGATTTGACATGAAGTGTTCTTCCAGGCTCTGTGTTGAAGACGTGGCCCCCAGTGCAGGAGTGCTCAGAGAGGAGGCCTGGGGACGTGGCTGGATCTTAAGGCCTCTGCTGCCATCTCAGTGGATTACTCCATTGACACTGAGTAGACTCCTGGGAGGTGGGATCTGCGGGGAAGGAGTGGCTCCTAGGGTGTGTGCCCCTTGGAACTGTATCACGCCTTGGCCCTTCTTCTCTCTGCCTCCTGGCTGCCATGAGGAGAGCGCCTTTCCTCCACACGCCCGTCCACAATGATGTCTGCCCTGCCTTACGCCCAAAGCCATGGAGTCGGCTGACCGTGGGCGGAAACCTCTGAAATCAATCATTCCTCCTTTAAGTTATTTTTTTCAGGTATTTGTCACAACAATAAAAAACTGACTATTATGGTCTTGATTGCTATAGCTTGCAGTTACATTTGAAATCAGGAACTAAGGGTCCTCCAAATTCCTTCTCACCCCCTCAGGATTGTTTGGATTATTGCCCAATTTCTTTTCCTCCCTCCTTCCCTCCTTCCCTCCCTCCTTCCCTCCCTTCCTTCCCCTGTACCCATTGGCATCTCTGAGATAATTTATAGAACCATATTTGGGCAACTTGACTTGAAAAGTTTTTTTTTTTTTTTTTTTAGTTTAGGTGTAATTTGTCTTTCTAAAGTTCTTAAGAAAACTGTTCACCCATTTTCATTCAAGTTCAACAAAAGATAATAATGTGCTAGACTCTAAAATAATGTAGATGAGTTGAATTTTATTCTTATTCTTGAAAACTCATTGCTGTGAGCAAGTTGAGCCTCCTTACCCTCCGTGGGGTCTAATGACTTGACTTCTGTGTTTCGCACTCCTTCCCCATGGAGGAGGCTAGGTGGAACTTTGTTCAGGATGTTGTGACAATGAAATGAAATCTGTAAATGCTTTAAATATTTTGAAGGAAAGGTGTCATCTGCACTCAAGGAAAAGTCCTGGTACAACTCCTGAATTGGTGCACACGTCCAGTTCCCCGGTCATTCCATGCAATGTCGTAGATGGCACGTTCCCTTTCCTAGGAATCCCAGGATTACCTGGGATTACTGTTCCCAATAGCCAAGAAATGGAAGCAATCTAAGTACCCATTAGCTGATGAACAGAAAGAGAAAATGTGGTACATGCAGGAAATCAATCCTACTCAGCCATTAAAAAGGAAGAGACTTCTCATTGGTGGCACCATGATGGAACTGGAAAAAGAAAGAAAATGCTGGTTGGAGCTGAACTATATGGTAAGCTAGGATTGCCTGGCTCTTCTCTTCTCTTCTCTTCTCTTCTCTTCTCTTCTCTTCTCTTCTCTTCTCTTCTCTTCTCTTCTCTTCTCTTCTCTCTCTCTTTTTCATGTGTGTATGGTCCTAGGGATCCAGCCCAGTGCCTTGTGCATGCAGCCAAACTCTCTACCACTGAGCTACATCCCCAGCCTGTATTTCCTTTCTTATTTCCCTAGAGTTTATATAGGTTTATTTTCCTTCCTCCCTCCCTTCCTCCCTTTCTTTCTTCCTCCGTGTGTGTGTGTGTGTGTGTGTGTGTGTGTGTGTGTGTGTGTGTTTGCTTAATTTTTATATTCCTGCTAGGGATTCCATGTGGAAGGACTTGGCACAGTTGGCCACTTCCAGTTTCTTCATTTTTTTTCCTTCACTCGGCTTCCAAAACAACACCCTTGCTGGTTCTTCCTTTCTACCTGGGCTTTTGCCTTGGATCACCCAAGACTCAGCCCTGGGTGATCTACCTCTCATCATTACATTGTGGTATCAGGTTGGTGGAGACCAATCTGCTATTCTCATGTCCGTCAATTTTACATGCTGCTGATTAACACTAGAATCAATACTCTCAAAGCACTCAGGCACAGTCTCACTTACCCTCCCGATACACCTTCTGCTTTTCCATGTGATCTTATGGTGCTCTGCAAACGTGTTATTGTGAGCCTACTGCAACTTTCTTCTGCTATAGGTTCTTCTAAGACTTAGAAATGAAGGTACCATCAACTGGTGTCAGAAAACCTCACACTCCCCCTTGGAGGAGGCAACGGTGATGTCCTCCTCTCTAAACTACAGATGTATTATACTATAATTATGTCATGTCATAATTATAATATGTAACTAAGGTTGTACCCTGACCTTAACATTCAGAAGTTTACAACTTCTCCTTTAATAGAATAGATCTAAAACAGTATCACTGGGGGAAGAAAACTAATTGGGAAATAGAAGTATATTTGCATGCAATAATTTTCTTTCATTACCAGAGACAGGGGATTAGAGATATTTAGCTTTGTAAGTGTGCATGTCCACATGTGTGTGCAACACACACAATTTATTTTCAAAAAGGGGCTCTGAGTGAGAAGTCAACACACAATTTCTATTAACAATAATGAGAATTGGGTGAGTCTCCACAGCCTGGAAGTTTACCCCTAAGGGTCCACATAAATTTGAGCTGTTGACCGTGTGAAGTGTTCTTTTATGGGGAGTGAGTGCACTGAGAAGCAGATGCGTATTTTCCTGAACTGGCTCTCACCAGTGTTATGTCTGTGTAATTCTTCGGACTTTCTTCCTGGAGTCCAAGTTCCGTGCACCCCTTGCTGATAGGGCGGCGGCTCTGTCTCCCTGAAAAAGCCGTGGAATGGCTTCACCTTTTGTTATAAAATATGAGCTTAGCACCACAGTCCCTCCCTTCAGGGGTTTTAAATAGAAAGTTTCAAACTAATAGAGAGCAGTGAATTCAGTTCCCCTGTTTCTGTCCTCTGTGCAGTGTGTGCAGAATATTTGAAAATGAAGGCCCTCGCGACAAACAAACAGGACCTCTCCCACCCACATAGAACCCCAACACACACACACACACACACACACACAGATTCGTGCATGCCAGTGTGGCTGGGTAGAGTGCTGGTCTTGTGGTTTATGTGAACGAGGAGGCTTATATCCTTTAGTGTTAACTTATTTTTAAATTCCTCAAAATTGAGAGTGTCAGCAAAGAGGACACAGCCCTACTGTGTATCTGAGCCCCAAGCAGGACCCAAACGCTTGTTGCTGTGGCCTAAATTTGGAAGGTCTGTTTTCTTTGAGTTCTTGAAATAAAACAAACAAAAATGAGTCAATATGGAACAACAGGCTGCTCTCCCCCTGTTTCAGGGGTTATCTCTGCTTCCGTAAGGAAGAGGGCCTCCTCCTCCTTCACTGTCTGTCTTGAAGGTTCTGGGGCAGGTCAAGGGGTGCTGGGCCTGTCCAGGGAGTCCATGAGCTCTTTCAGGGGGGCCACTGACTCATCCTGTTGATGGAACTGAGGTGTGCTCAGTGTGAGGACGGGTCCAAGTGCCCCGAGGCCATCGTGGCCCCACACCCAGAGTCTCCAGGGTCCCTCCGCCTTGGCTTCCTGTGACAAGAACACCTAACAGGAGATCAATCCTGTTAGCAAATGTTGACGTGCACAATATTTCATTGGCCTGTAATATGCCCTCAACAGACTCAAGTTTTTAAGGTATGCTTTTGGAATGTTTGTAAGTATTCACAGGGAGAGAGGGTTCAATGGGCTTACGAGGGAGAGTACATCCTCTAACTGTGTCTCTCAGTTGTCAGTTCCTCTGAGGAGGCAGCTAACACAGGCTCATGGTGGCATCCTTGTTGGCGTCCCAGTTCCTGGCTGGGCGCCAAGTCCTTCTGGGTGCCGTCCTGCAGCTGGCTGAGAAGAGTCGGTGCCTAGGTGGCTCGTGCCCTGGGGCTGTTTCTCATGACTAAAGCCAACAACAGGTCACTCACGGCTACCAGAGTCTTCCTTGAGCCAGGTGCTGTGTGCCACCGTTTAGACGCATTGAATTCCCGAAGTGGCCCTGGGAGCAGAGGTCCTGGACAGGCCTAGAAGATCAAGTGCCTCCTGTGCCAGGATGTGGCTGATGTTTTGTCCAGGTCCCACTCTTGCCCAGCAAGCACAGGGCTGCTGGGCTCTGGGCTACCCTCTCACCAGTCCATGGCAATGTACAGAGCATAAGGTGGTTCTCATCAGCTGCCTTGAATTCAAACAAAGTGCCCATATCTCCCGTTGGCACCTGACCTTCCATGGGTGTGGAGCCTTGCCCGCTTGGAGTGCAGATAGCAGGTTTAAAAGGACAAGGTGGGTCACACTCCTGCTTGAGCTCAACCAAAAAAGCAAAATGGCACCGGCTGTGCAGACCAGTTGCAGATGAAAGTTTGGACTGTTGCATTACAAATGCATCCACCCTTCCTTGCACCATCCCTCTACTTTCCCTCCACCTCTCTCTACCTCCCCTCCACCTCCCCCACCTCCCCCACCTCCCCCATCTCCTCTCCACCCTTTTCTGGGGTGCTGGGGGAATTTAGGCTTTCCCAGGAGACCTGCAAAGGGTTCTGCCCCAGGTGAGGGCTTGGGAGGAGCTGGCTTGCATTCTATAGAAAGTCATTTATGTGTGTGTGAGCACATGTGCATATGTGTGTGAGTATATATGTATGTGTATATGCATGTGTGAATCACAGATAATGCCACCAAGATTGGCCCAGCAGCATGACATGAGCTTGGAGGGAATTCCTAGTTTACAAGATATTGAGAACTTGGCAAGATTTTGAACTTGGCAAGCACTGTTCAGGTCTCTAGTGGCACAGGACCCATAGCCCTGATTCCTTTCCTGCTTCATCCTTCTCCAGTCTCAGGTCTCTCCACACAAACCCAGCTGACTCCTGGGGGGTCATGTGGCTCTTGGGTCTCTTCTTGGTAGCTGTTAACAGTCTCTCTGGAACAATGAGGGTTTTAATTAGTCTATTCAACAATCAATTTCAGGGAAGATTTCTAACAAAGCAATTTCTCACAGAGTCCTGGACCTGTGGTCACTTTCTCTTCCTTAGACAATTCTGAGAATGGCAGGGGAGATTTTTTAGTCAATGCTGAGATCTGTAAGGGATGTCTTATTGGGTTAGGCATGACTCTGGTACCTACAGGGTTTATTTATCATAGGGACAAAGTAAATATGATGCATGATTGCTAGATGCTGCTTGATTTATGTTACTCAAATACACAGAGTTATCATTATATGTATTTTCTACCAGTACATGATTCAGCTTTCTTTTGTCTCCAAAGATCCTACTCACAAGGTAGGTATCACCTCCACTTTACAGATGAAGAAGAAGTAGTTTTGGAGCAGTTAAGAAGCTCCTTGGTGTCACTGGGCCTCCCCAGCTCTGCCTCCTGCCAGCCCCTTCCATCATGTGAAAAACTCCCTTTCAGAAGTGAAAGAGAGGAAGTTACGTCATCAGCATGTGGACTAGATGCTCTGCTCGTTCTGCTGCAAGAGAAGCTAACTGGCTTTGGAGCCCACAGATCCCCAGCTGCTCCCTGGCTGCCATGAGAGGCCACCCCGCACAAACCCAGCGGCCTGCTCAGGGACCATGCTGCAAACAGCATTGCCCAGTGGCCCCAAGACAGTGACCTCACAGCCTCCTCCTCCTACTGTTTGAGACAGCTTTGTGGCACTAAGACTGTTCTCTGCTGCCCCAGGCACAGGAGAGGGTTGGAATTCCTGCTGCCTTGAGCTTGGCTGCTGCGACCTGTTTGGCCCAGTGGATTGAGAGGGGACTCACTGAGTTCCTTCCAGGCAAGAGCCTTAAGAGCCAGCGCAAGTTTCCAGTGTCTGTAACCACAAAGCCCCTCGTGCTGGGGCTTTAAACAACAGACAGTGATTGCCTCACAGTTGTGGAGCCTCCAAGATCAGGGCGGAGAACCTTCCTAGCCTCTTCCAGCTTCTGGTGGCTCAGCAATCCCGGCGCCCCTTTGGTCTGTCTGTGGGCACGTGGCACATCTCTGCCTCTGTCAGCACAGTGTTCTCCCCGTGTGTCTGGGTCTCTGTGCCTTCTCCTCTGCTCATGAGCACTCAGTTGTTTAGATGGACATGGAAACAATTGATCCCAATTTTAAGATCTGAAAAAACACTATGACCATCAAAAGCTGTCCTGTTTGCCAATTGTCCCGCAAAGTTCATCTCGATTCTGTCCTCACATCTAAGATCTTTGCTTATCATGAAACAGTAATGAGGTATATTGAAATCTCCTTTTCTTTCCCACTTTTTAAAAAGACAGGCTTGACGTGCTTGTGTGTTACAGGGTATTAGACTAAGAACTCGGGGGGAACATTTATGATATCTTGATGGTCACACTGGTCCAGCAGCAAGAGAGGGAGAAGGAAGACACTTCTGTTGGTGACAAGCAGCTTCCGTGTGAGAAGTGCCACTGTAGCCAGCTTCCCCAATGCCGATCACCACCCAAACCCACAGAAACATCGGCAGACGGCTTCCAGAGCTGTTCACCCTGTGAATGGGAAGTTATTGCTCTCTGAAAATATGCAAAATGCATTAGAAGGTAATTGCAAGACATTCAGGATCTGAGAAACTTACTTTGATGACTTTTAATGGCAAAATATACTATCTTCCACTGGGCCTGAGTTTATTTTGTTAGTCATGCTAATTGTTCAAACAGCCCTAAATGGCTTAAAAAACCTGGCAAACACTTGTCTAATACCTCTAAGCAGATGGACAAATTCCTAATTAAATCTAAATTTATTCTTTATCTCTAACTTCCTTCAGAAGAAGAGGAGGGTCCTGGTGCACCCTGACTTTGCGGTGAACCCTCAGCCTCCTCCTCCCCACCTGGTAAAGGATTGGCTTGAACAATTCTTTGAAATTCCCAATCACAGGGAAACAGAATGATCTAGAATTTTTTGCTTCACTTTAAAAATTCACAGAATTTAGCATTTTCACTAGTTTCTTCTTTCAGGATTAAAGAAATCATAGTTAGCTGCGGGGACCTGGTTGGTCTCGTTGGGTCTCAGGCTCTGCTGTTTCCCAGATCCTCCTCCCCCTCCTTCTGGGTTCCTTTCACTTCTTGCTGAAGCGCATCCTTCAGGCGCATCTTCCTCCCCAGGGGAGGTCTGTGGTTAATAAGTTCTAGCTTCCGAAGTCTGCGTTGCCTTTATTTCACTGTTACTACTGAGCAATCGTTGGTCTAGATGCAACGTGGCAGGCTGACGGCACGTCACCCCAACACAGGGTGACACTGACATCACTGGAATCCGCCCCGAGAGCTGCTCTCTTTCTAACTTCTGCTCCTTTGCACCTGGTCTAGCTTCTCTGTAACCATGAAGACCCTCTCTCTTCTCCTGTCGCTATTTATTTCACTACTGTGTGTCGAGGTGTGGGTTTATTACTTACTGTCACAGCATCCAGGCTTTCTGGCTGAGAACCCGCTGTCCACCTTAAACTCTTAAAAATTACCAGCTCTTAGTCCTTGTGAACAATGGCTTTTTTACCATTTCCACTCCTGTAGGGTATGACCTACATACCCTGTAGGAGTGGAAAGTGTAGTGAAAGAACTCTGTGGACAATTCTACACCATAAATTTGGCAATACACCAATTCCTTGAAAAATACCAACTCCAATAACACATCTGATATGAATGGATAGAGTGAATAGTTCTGTAACTATTAAAGGGATTTAATTCATAGTTTAAACTTTCCCATAAATAAAGTCGCCAGATCATGATGGAGTGTCTGAGCTTCCTGTTCTATATTTCATGTTACTTTCATTTTCTGTATTTCTTATTGCTTTCTTTATTTCTGCCACATTCTTGTTAAATTCCTCACTAGTATGTTCCCATTCACTAAAACCCTCTTCATCTGTATCAGTTTAGAGTTTATTCTACTGAGTTTCTATTTTCGTGACAGTGTTTCTTTCCCCACCTTTCTCATTTTTTCTGTATACCCGTCTTCGTGATTCATACTTGCTGTTTTAGCTCACATTCGCTGTTCACCATGGCAGATTGAGAGCCTTAACAGGTGACATCCTTCGTCCTTCCCTGAAGGATGGTCTTTTGCATACCTGTGGCTCCCCTCTCTCTCCAGGTCCACTATTCCTTCTGTCTGGGTGGACCTGGGACTTGCTTTGGCCAAAGGAATGCAGAGGAAGTGGCAGTAATACAGTCCTTCAGGCTAAGGGGCCCAAAGTGGACAGGTGAACCTGCCCAGCTAGGGCTAGCACGGCCACACAGCTAACCCAGGTGCATGAGCAATAAACACTTTTTATGCCACAAAAGTGTTCCATATTTTTGTTGTTATATGAGCTTATTGTGACAATGGGCAGCTTTTTATTACTCCTTTTGCAAGAAGGCAGAAAGTATATGTAAGAACAGAAATTAAAATTGAAACAGAAAAACAATAGAGAAAAATCAATGCAATAAAAACTTTTTAAAAAACAGATCAATTGAATTAATAAAGAAAAAAGGCTGATGAGAGAAATAGAAACCAAATTTCTGATATCAGGAATAACAACTGTGACCCACATACCCTATAGGAGTTGAAAGTGCAGTAAAAAAACTCTATGGACAATTCTACACCATAAATTTGGCAATACACCAATTCCTTGAAAAACACCAACTCCAATAACACATCTGATATGAATGGATAGAGTAAATAGTTCTGTAACTATTAAGGGAATTTAATTCATAGTTTAAACTTTCCCATAAATAAAGTTGCCAGGTCATGATGGTTTCATTGAAATTTCTACTATATGTTTAAAAAATCAGTACCACATTTACCAATCTATTTTAGAAAATAGAAGAGGAGGTGGATACCTTCTAAAATTTTTTGATGACAATGTTATGCTGATACTAAAGTTATTTAGGACAAAAAGAAAAGAATAGAATAATACAAAAGAAAACTGCAGTCCAGTGCCCCTCATGACTATAGATGCAAGAAATCTTAACACTATGTTAGCAAATATGATTCAACAATGGACGAAAGCCAGTGCCCTAAACCCAAAGGTCAAATGTCTTCTCTGATGTGTGGATGCTATCCCACACAAGGCGGGACAGGAAGAAAGAAAGTTCAGGAGATTAGACAACGGGGACTGAAGGGAAGGGAGGAGGCACAGGAATAGGAAAGACAGTGGAGTGAATCTCACATGACTTTCCTAAGTACATGGATGAATACACCACAGAGAATCTCCACATCATGTACAACCACAGACGGCGATCCTAATGAGAATAATCTGTACTCCATGTTTGCATAAATATAACAAAGTATACTCTACTGTCATGCATGACGAACACCACCAAAAAATGGGTGAATAATTATGCACCAGGCTCAAGTAAGGCTTATTTCAGGTATGTGAAGCTGTCTCAATATTCAATAGTCAAATCAAGGTAAAATCCTATTTTAACAGACTAAAAGAGAAAGAAATCATATATTTATATTAATCAATGCAGAAACAGTGATTGACAAAATTCAACACCCATTGATTTATAAAAAACTCAGAAAAATAGGCCTAGATGGACATTTCCTCAACGTGAGAGATGGCATCTATGAAAAACAACAGCTAGTGTTATGTTTAATAGTGAAAGACTGAAGGCTTTCTCCTTAAGATTAAGAACACTTTTTTTCATCACTCTTATTTAACATTGTGCTGGAAATTTGAGCCAGCATAATAAGGCAAGGAAAAAAACCTACAAAAACAAAAGGTTTATAAATTAGAAAGGGAACAATGCAATTCTTTGTATTTGCAGATAACATAATTGTCTGTGTAGATAATCCCAATGAAACTGTTGAAAAACTCCTCAAAAAATGGAGTTAAGCAAGGTTGCAAGATCCAAGATAAGCATACAAAAATCAACTGTATATCTATCTACTGGCAATGAACACTTTGAAGTTGATGTTAAAAATAAAACAAATATAATTTCCAACCACCTTGCAACATGAAATACTTAAATGTAAATCTTATAAAACATAGGTAGGATGTTCATGCAAAATGCTTGTGAAAGAATTAAAGAATATCTAAATAAATTAGACAAGTGAATTCATGCATTGGAAGATTTAGCATCATAAAGATGTCTTTTACCCAAATAGCTATAAAGGTTTAACGCAATTCCTTACAAAGTCCTAGAAATGTTTTTGTAGCTACATACTACATTATTATCACATTAATATTGAAATGCAAAGGAATTAGAATAGCTAATTTTTTAAAAAAGAAGAATAAAATGGGATAAATCGGTCCACCCAAATTCAAGACTTATTCAAGACTGCATGGCATCAACAGAGTGTTAGATAACGTAGCTCAAAGGATCACAATAGATAATCCAGAAATAGATCCACACAAATAAAAACAAGCGATTTTTGAAAAAGGTGTAAAGGTGATTTAATAGAGGAAAGAAAAATGTTCAACAAATGAAGAGAATTTTGACATTAATATCTCAAAAAATGAACCTAACCTAAATTTTACATTTTAAACAAAAAGTAATGCAAAATGTTCCAAGGGTTTACGTATCAAACATAAAACCCTAAAAATTGAAGGAAAAAAGAGGTGAAAATTTTTGCAAACTAGTGTCACCTAGAAATACTAGACCAGAGTCAAAACCCATAAAAGGAAAAATGGATGAACTTGATATCATAAAAACAAAAAGCTTCTGTTCTACAGTAGAGTGTGTCGAGAGGATAGAAAGATAATTTATAGAATTTGAGAATAGATTTGCAAATCATGTATATGGAAAGGACCAGTAGCTAGAATGCATGTAGATCAACTAAAAGAACTTTAAAAACTCTAAACAATAGAACTAGAAAATGAGCAAAAGACATTTTATCTAAGAGTACACAGGGATGGCAAATAAGCATGTGAAAATGTTTAACATTTGGGCTGGGGATGTGGCTCAAGCAGTAGCGCGCTCGCCTGGCATGTGTGCGGCTGGGGTTCGATCCTCAGCACCACATACCAACAAAGATGTTGTGTCTGCCGAGAACTAAAATAAATAAATAAATAAATAAATATTTTTAAAAAAAATGTTTAACATTTAACCATGCTGCTAATGAAAATTAAAGCCATAGTGCAATATTATACTTTCAGAATGGCTAAAATAAAAAA